GCACCCGCGGCCCCGGCGGCGCCCGCTCGGCCCCGCGCGCCTGCACCGTGGGGTAGAGCGAGGGCGGCGCCCCGTCGGGCACCCCCGGCTCCTCGGCCAGCGTCAGGCTCCGGCCCTCCAGGGACTTCTGCTTCCACTCGGTGATGAGCTGCTTGGAGCGCGAGGCATCCACGGGCACGTGGATGGTCATGTGCCGGCGCGCCGGGTCGTCCAGCGAGGGCGTGCTGACGCGCGGCAGCGTGTTGCTGAACGTCACCATGTTCTCCTTGGCCATGGGGCTGCGCGGGGCCAGCAGGTCCACGTCCACGCTGGCCCGCTTGAGGCTGCCCAGCGAGTTCTTGTCGCGCGGCACGGGCCGCGCCGCGCCCTCCAGCCGGCCCGGCGGGTTGAGCTCGTCGGTGCTCACCGACTTGTTCTGCTGGTAGACGGAGTCGTGGCCCCGCTGCGTCAGCGCCCGCAGCGCGTCCTTGGCGGCCGCCGGCGCCGGCGCCCGCTCCGGCGGCGCGCGGAAGTTGCCCACGGCGTGGCAGGCCTGGGGGAGAGCGGGTCAGCGCGGCGCCCCGGCCCCGCGCGCCCGGCGCGGCCCCCGGCCCTCACCAGGTAGGCGGCGATGCCGGCGCCGATGAGGAAGCCCACGTAGACGTCGGCCGGGTGGCTGCGGTACTGCGTGATCTGCGTGAGGCCGCAGATGCCGGCGGCGATGGCGAAGGCGAAGACCAGGATGGGCTTGAGCAGCTTGGTGCTGTCCGAGATGGTGGAGTTGAAGTACATCTGGTGGCGGCAGGGACAGGCCCTCAGCAGCGGCACACGCTGCACTGCAAGCGCCCGCGCATCGCAGCTGGGGCATGTGTGCAGCCGCGGATGTGCCCCGTGCACGGCAGCGACGGAGCTGCCTCCACCGGGCACCGCCGGCCGACTCACCGAGATGTAGACGGCGGCGAACGCGGAGAGCGTCGCGTGCTGGGACGGGAAGGTCTTCCTGCGGAAGGGCCGTGAGCGGGGTGGCGCGGGGGCAGCCCGGCTGCTGCGCGGCCCCCGCCCCGCGGTACCTGGCGGACAGGATGGCCTGCTTGTCCGGCCCCGCGCAGATGTCCTGCGTCACGTAGGGGTTGGCGTCGCACGGCGTGCCCAGCAGTGTGTAGTTGGGCTTGCAGACGGTGAGGAAGAAGGGCGCGTGGTAGCCGGTGGCCAGCTGGATCACGTCGGTCACCAGCGCCGTGGCGCAGAGCCCGAACACGTGGACGCCTGCGGAGGCGGAGGTCACCCCAGCCCCAGCCAGGGGGGAGCAGCCTGGGAACGGCCCCTCGCGCCCCCCAGCCCCACAACGTACCCACAAACCGCACGGTGCGGCGCAGGAAGGAGTTGAAGTTGCAGCCGCCGGCGTTGATGCTGCCCTCGGCGCCGCGGCCGCGCAGCCGCGACTGCAGGCAGTAGACGATGCCCTCGCCGACCATGATCTGCGGAGGCAGCGGGGGCTCAGGGGCGCCGGGGCGGCCGGACCCCCGTGATGGGCCGGGCCCGGCCGGGCCAGCACGCACCGAGGCCGCGGGCGCAGCGAAGGCCAGACTGAGCAGCATGAGCAGCGGGATGAGCTCCTCGCTGGTCTCCACGTAGGGCATGGAGAGCGCCCGGTCGTAGCACTGGAAGCCAACCTTGGCCGGCTTGAAGAGGTCCGTGAGCTCCAGGAAATAGAGTGTGACGACGGAGGAGGCCACGATGGGCAGCTGCGGGGAGCGGAGTGGGCTGGAATGGGGACGGGGACGGGGACGGGGACGGGGACGGCGGCGCGGGGCGGGCGCCCGCTGCGCTGCACCCACCTCCACGAAGTAGAAGCAGGGCAGGAGGGTCATGCTGTCCTTGGGCGCCTTGGCCTTCTCCTTGGCGGGGAGCATCGTGTCCCCGGGCGCTCCGGGCGGCGCCGGCTCCTCCGGGGCGAGAACGGGACCCTGGGGACGAGCCGGGACCCTTCCCTGCCCAGGGACCCCCCCTCACCGCGCCGGGCCGGGGGGGGGGGCTCCGCAACAGGTGGGGCTATCGCGACAGGCCCC